ATCGGACGTATCGACTCTCCGAATTGCGAAGCTTGTGCGCGCGGGAGTGCGAATTGTGCAAAAGGCCACCCTAAGGCTCAGGAAGGTCCTATAGGGAATCCCTTTTGGGTTTCCTCATGTTGGTTTCGTCCTTCTAAGTGCTAGAAGTTGATACCACACACGCGAAACCACAAAAGAGTACCGAAGCGGGTTGAATTTCTAGAATGAGGCGGGTCCCATTTCTAAGGTTCTAAGATAGTCGAAAGGAGATTCCTAAGGCTAGATCCTAAACCCTAAACGGAAGACTAGACCTCACGAAAATTGAGGTCAACAGGGAGGTGGGGGAAGTTTTTAATGCGAAATCCAATCTATTTGAAAGAATAGGGGCAATTGCTAGAAAAGTGGTTTAAATATTTATGACAATGATAAAGACCATTGTAATTCATTAAAATCATGAATGTTTTGATTTAACCTTAAAGTTTATTGTGCATTTACTTGTATTATATATTGCAGTTTGTCTGAGGCCTTTTGATCATTAATGAAATAGTTTTAAGAAGCAAAAACTACTAGCTCATTCACCATATTCCAACCTTTATCTTATCTTTCTTTAGTTGTTCCTTCTTGCTTACTTGAAATTTTGCTCTCTCTCTCTCTCTCTCTCTCTCTCTCTCTTTCTCTCTCTCTCTCTTCTCACTCTCTCCCCTCCACCTAAGCCATATGTGGAAGAAGGGATCTGATTTTGCTAAGCAAAGCCTTAATTATGAAGAGAAGTAAAATAGAAGAAAGAAAGATTAAAATAAACAACAAGAAAATGGAGGGAACCATCTACAAGTCAACAAAGAACAAAGGCCGTTAATTATGATAATTAATTTCTAGTTTGCTACTTTATCATTGATCTTATTCGCATCTTCTTCTTGATCACATTTAAGTCCTTTGATAAATCTCTTAATTGACCACTTAAAAGGGATAGCTTTTTTTGGTTATTTTCTTGTAAGGGTTTTCCTAGTTATCTTAAATACCAGAAAATAATAACACCACCACACCTAATTATCCTAAAACCACAAAATAATGACACCAAGAATATTTAAGGTATTCTAAGGAAGTAAGAATCAAGAATTTAGTGATAGCCACTTAGTATTTGAGTAACCATATTCTCTTCCATCCTAGATTGAGAGAACATGCATTGAAAACATTTATATTAGTCTTGGCTTATAGTAGAATTCAAGTTGGTTGGTTGAAGTGGAGGAATGTTTTGGGCCTTTTGTGTGATAGAAAAGTACCACTTAAACTGAAAGGAAAATTTTATTAGACGGCGGTGAGACCTGCAATGCTCTATGGCACTGAAAGTTGGCCTTTAAAAGAGAAGCATAATGCTAAGTTAAGTGTTGCCGAGATGAGAATGATTAGGTGGATGAGTGACTATACACTTAGAGACAAAATGCGAAATGAGTATATCCGTGATAGGGATGGTGTAGCTGCTGTGACGGACAAAATTAGAGAAAGTCGTCTTAGATGGTTTGGTCACATTAAACGTCGACCATTTGATGCTCCGATTAAGAGAGTAGATGTTTTAGATTCGACTTATGTTAAGAGAGGCAGAGGTAAAACTAGGAAGACTTGAGCATATTGTATAAAAAATGATCTTAATTTATTAGAACTAAATGAAAATAGTACGCAATGGAGAAAAAGGATTCATTTAGTCGACCCCACGTAGTGGGATTAAGGCTGTGTTGTTGTTGTTATTTGCTTGTAGGTTGTGAGGATAATTCCATGTAAAAACTTGAGTAACAATCCGATAATTTATTGAATCACCGAGCCTATAATTGCATGAGTAGAACGCTTTATGCCAGATTAGGGAGAGCTAGAAATTAGGCTAAATAAAATAGAAAATATGGCCACCAAACTAATCGTGTTGATGATTATACAGAAGACATCCACTGTTACTGTCCGGCCTAAGAGCTTAAAGGAATGAGGCTGGAATGAAAGGACAAATAAAATTTTGAAGCTTATTATAGCTTCTATATAAGAATAATAATTTAAAATCCACTTTTTTCCTTGTCATTAGACTTCCAATATTACAAAACCATCCATTAACCACAAATTTTTATATATCATGATGATGTTCATGTACATCTTGAAATAATACTTATAGAATTTGATAAATATTTGAAAGAAAATTATTAAAAGTGTTATATATCTATCATATCTTTTTTAAGTTGTTAACGTTAGATGTTTAGGAATTGTGGAGTGTATGAATAGACTGTTTGCTTAGAAGGGGAGGTATTGGATAGTTGGAAAGAACTGAAGTTTGATTTAAAATTTGAATTCAAATTCAGGTTGGAAATATTTACCCAAAAAAAAATCTGGTTGGAATTTTAAAATTCAAATATTCAAGATTTATATACAAAATTTGAGTTTCTTTGCATTTCAAATTTATTATCTTAATTCCAATTTTATATATTCTTTTTTTTTTTTAGTTGAGTTTGATGCAATCAACAAATTAAGTGGTGGAAGGAACGTGGTGACTTTTAGAGGTGGAGAAAGATGGACTTGTTGCAACAATGATGAAAATTTTTTGTTTAGGATTTTATGATCTAGATGGGATTTGTGAAGGGGAATGTTGTGGGAAAGCTTTTAGGAAATTGAAGAGAGAGCGTATGGAGTGAGATGAGTGAGATTGATTAGAATACAACATTATGCCATGATCTCCCAAGGCCTCAAAATCTTTTTGCACCTTTGTTTTGCTAGTGAAGAACACTTTGGATTTATGAACTTCGACTCTAATACCAATAAATGTAGAACGAGGTAGTGGAAATGAAAAACTAACGGACTTGTGATGCTGTATTTTGATGAGAAGCAACGAATTAAGCTTATAGAAAAATCAGGGAGATACGGAACAAAAGAGTGATTAAGAAAATGAGATGAACGAATGCTTTAGAGGGGGAGGGAGATGATGGTAAAATACAGAAAGGACATCATGTCTTTGAGAAAATATCGTGAAATTCGGCCATTGATGCAGAGCAAGACAACAAAAACGAAGGTCTTGGCCAAGTGTAGAAGAACAGTTGGGGAGGCAACTAGAACAAAGAGATTTAGAATAAATGAATGAATGCCTCGTGTAAGGGAGGCAAGCGTAAAAATTGAGAAAAAACTAACTTCATGGCTAGAAGAAAATGGGAGGAATTGATCTCTAGAGATAATGTTAATGAAATATCTTATTCATATTTGATCTTCTTCAAGTTTATACTATGGCCTACTATTTATACTGATCAATAGTTTCTTTAGACAAACTCTCTTAATAGCAATGTAAAAAATTGAATAATGTTTCATCACAAATGATCATTTAATGGTAACCAATATCAAAACGTCAAATAGGTACAATGATATAAATTAGACATTAATTGTACTGAATAAATTAACGTACAAAAAAAATCTAGGCTGATAATTGGAAGCTAAAGTCTCACGTTTGGTGGTGTTGATTGAATAATGAATTTAATTGAAGTAATTTTGTCAGAAGACCGGTCATTATTGATGTATTCTTTGTCCATGAAACGGGTAAGTGCGACATAACAACAAGGCAATCCTTTTTTATTTACCTTCTTCAGTTCTTTATTTCTTTTCAGACGTGGAGACTCATACATCATAAATGGAAGGAAATGGTGGACAAGCGGAGCAATGGACCCTCGATGCAAACTTTTGATAGTGATGGTTTGTGAAGTTTCTATCACAGAACATAGTCCAGAAGAGAGATTTTTTGGTCTGATGTAATCCTTTTTCAGGGGAAAACAAACTTTTCTGCTGCCAAGCATGAGCAGCAATCAATGATTTTGGTAGACATAAACACCCCTGGAGTTCGTGTAGAGAGACCATTGATGGTATTTGGTTTTGATGATGCTCCTCATGGGCATGCAGAAGTATCTTTTGAAAATGTAAAGGTGCCAGTGGAGAATATCCTACTCGGAGAAGGTCGGGGATTTGAGATTGCTCAGGTACAGCAAATCATCTTCTTTCTGACTTCTGTTTGAGTTACTTCAAGCTTAAACTTCTTCTTCTTACATGGAGTTTTTCATTTTGCAGGGCAGACTTGGACCTGGTAGGTTACATCACTGCATGAGACTAATAGGAGCTGCAGAACGAGGCATGCAGCTGATGGTAGAAAGAGCTCTTAAAAGGACAGCCTTTGGTAAAAAAATTGCCGAGCATGGCTCTTTTTTGTCAGATCTTGCTAAGGTAATTTTAAAATGCTTCACAGGCTCAGCAAAATATGGCCGATGTGTTCTGATTTTGATATTTACTTATTTTCATCTATTTATTTCATTTAGCTTCTCTAGGGTCCTATTAGTAAAAAGGTAATATTGAAGAAGTTTAGGGGTTTATTTTTAAAACATTGTAATGCCCTATTTAAGCCTATGTTATGAATATACAATGCTGATTTTGAGTAATTCTTTTTTTTCGGTATGAGAGACTAACCTAGCGGCTCATGTCTTCGCCGTCACCTTCCCAACGAGCTCTAATCACTACTATTCACATCGTCACCTTCCCAGAAGCTCTGATTGCGGCTGTCTCATCGGGTTCGGTCATGAAGTTGCGGGATCAAGTCTTGGCAGCTGGATTGCAAGTCATGTCGTCGCTTTCCCAGCAAACACTGATCACAACTGTATCACAGGGTTCTAAGGTGCAGTATCGTGTCTCGCAGGGTTTTTTGTAAGCTGCGGTCCCAGAGTTGCTTTTTCGATTGTATTGTGAGGTCAGAAGAGAGCTTTTGTGGCAGGAGTGGAGCGGCATTGTGGAAGGATAAGGGGAGACGATTGAGAGGAACGAACAGGGAGAAATGCGGGACTTCTGCGTACGGGTTGTGGAACGAAGGAGAGAAAGAAAGGTTGATGAGGAGGATCTCAATCTTGAGGGTGAAGAAGATTAAGATCGGATCAAGAAGAGGAATGAAGTTGCGTGTGATCTAGACTTGAATCCTTATGATTGAGGATGTCAAAAGAAAGTGTAGGTGCAGAAAGTAAATGATTAGAGCATCTAGGGAAGATAGATCCTAAGGTTCTGAAGGTCTTGATCAGACTCATACAGGAAGCTAGCGTCTTGACGGGAGCCACCACCTCAACATGTGCTCCGAAGCAAGTAAAGCTAGATCTCCCTCCTGTGGACATGAAGCTTGATGGTTCGACCACGTTTTTGAGTTGGTAGCGTCAAATCGAGACTGCTATAGTGGGGAAGAGACTAGAGAGATATCTGACAGTAGTCAAGGCTAAGCATAGTGCTGAGAAGGATGAGTGGAGGACCACACAGGCCTTGTACTTGGCTTCTCAACTCGATGGTTCAATCGATTGTCTCATCAGTAGATGACATTCAAAAGGTGAGAGACATTTGGGCAAAGTTAAAGAGGATTTATGCTAGGACGGAAGGGTGCTCCAAATTAACATGAGATAGAAGCAGTGGTACATGATGATAGATCGATTCAAAAATACATCATAGATTTGGAGTGGTTGTTGGTAGGTCTTGATCACTTCTTACCGATGTCGAGCTGTGACAATCCGGAGTGCAAGAAAGAGAAGATCTTTACACAGATGAAGACTATGCAATTTCTTGCTTGTCTGAACTTGGCCTTTGATTCGAGATTAGTTCTCCTAGATTAGGCGACAATCCCTTCACTAGATGAGGCCTCCCAATTGTCTTTTATCCCGCTTCATTGTGAAGATCCACTTGCAGCAATGCGAGACATGCTCTTGATCGTTTTGGGTGGGAACATGACATTGCTAACTTTGTTTCATACTCTAATATATCACTTTTACCCAGAGCATTCATTGCATCTTTGGACACTGTCTCTATATCAATTGTTGGCAAGTTGCTAAGGAAGATCTCAAGTGGAGGCGGCTATGCATGAAGAGCTTAGGGCTTTCAATAAAAACTGAACATGACAGATAGTGCCACTACGAGTGACATAAAAGACAGTTGGGTGGAAGTGGATCTTCACAATGGAGCAAAATCCAGAAGGAAATGTGGAGCTGTACAAAGCACGACCGGTTGCGAAAGGGTGCAGTCAGACATATGTCATTGACTATGATGAAACCGTTGCACCAATAACAAAAATGAGTAGTGAGGACAATATTCTCTCTGGCAGAGGATGGTGGGTAGAGGTTACACCAACTTGATGTGAAGAGTGCATTTCTTCATGGTGAGATAGTGGAGGAGGTTTATATGGAGTTACCACCAGGATTCGGTACAATCCAAACAGTGAGCAAGGTTTGTAGGCTCAGGAAGTCACTGTATGACTTGAAGTAGTCCTCTTCGAGCCTGGGTTGACAAGTTTAGATAGATGTGAGATATCACCAATGATGATGAGATAGAGATTATCCAACTAAAAGTAAGATTGGGCAATGAATTTGAGGTGAAGGATCTTGAACAACTTAGATTCTTTTTTGTGATTGAAATGACCCGTGAACCTGAGGGGATGGTCTTGTCCCAGAGAAAGTATGTGCTGGATCTCCTCACGGAAACATGCATATTGAGATGCATAATTGCAGTCTCTCCAATTGACCAGAAAACCAAACTGAGTGTAGAGGCAGAAGAATCGTTGATTGTGAGAGGTTCCAGTGATTGGTGGGTCGTCTGATCTATCTGGATCACACTTGACCCGACATCTCTTTTGCAGTGAGCTTGGTGAACCGCTATATGCATGATAAAAGGAAGGGTCATATGGATACAATGTATCAGATTTTGAGGTACCTTAAGTGTGCACCAGGGAAGGGGTTAATCTTCAGGACGAATGGACATGTAGACATTGAGTGCTTTTGTGATGCTGGCTGGGAGAGTTGTGCTGATGATAGAAGATCTACCTCAAGATACTGCATGTTCGTAGAGGGCAACTTGCTCTCTTGGAAGAGCAAGAATAGTTTGTAGTAGCGAGGTCAACAACAGAGGTAGAGTACAGGGTCATGACCTTAGGAATTGTTGAGATGACTTGGCTGAAAGCCTTGTTTGTCAAGCTCAAGGTGGACCAAGAAACTCAAATGAAGTTGTGGTGCGACAACAAGTCAGCATTTTCGATTGAAAATAGCCCGGTGCAACAGGGTAGAACCAAACATGCGGAGATTGATAGATTATTCATTAAGGAAATGTTGAGTAACAGACTACTAGTGCTAAGTCATCTAGCCACTGGAAAGCAAGTGGCTGACTGCCTTACTAAAGGATTTAGTTCATTAGATTTGTCTAGGTTATGTGAGAAGATAGGCGTAGTGGTTATCTTTTGCCTATTTTGACGGGGAGTGTTGAGAATTGGAGCTTATTTAGGGTCCTATTGGTAAAAAGGGAATATTGAAGAAGTCTAGGGGTTTATTTGTAGAACATTCTTATTTGAGCCCATGTTATGAATGTACAAAGCAGGTTTTGAGTAATTCCTTCTTTTAATATTTACTTGTTTTCATCTATTTATTTCATTTAGCTTCTCATTATCATATATGAGTGCATCTTTTGGTAACCTCCTTAGTTCCAAATTGATTCATTGGTCTTATCACATCTTGCTAGCAAATAAAGAATAAGCTTATTAACAGAGAAAGAAGAGAAAAAATGACTTGATTAACCTGACTCGCATAACATTGGGTGGTGTACACCATTTTTCTTTTGGCATTCTCTGCAAACTCTTACAATTTGCTTTGAATATGTTTCAGTGCAGGATAGACCTCGAGCAGACACGACTACTTGTTCTTGAGGCTGCCGATCAACTCGATCGACATGGGAACAAGAAAGCTAGGGGAATCTTAGCCATGGCTAAGGTAACATAATCATAATGGGTTTTTGTTTCTCTTCCAAAAGAGTTGGAAATGAGGTAAATAGCACTTTTGGTGCAGGTTTCAGCTCCAAATATGGCTCTCAGAGTCCTTGACATGGCCATGCAAGTTCATGGTGGTGCAGGATTGTCCTCTGACACTGTTCTCTCCCATTTGTGGGCTACTGCAAGAACCCTAAGGATTGCTGATGGACCTGATGAAGTTCATCTGGGAACAATAGCCAAGCTGGAGATTCAAAGAGCTAAGTTATAGAAATATCTCCTTTCAACAAAGTTTATTTATTGGAGGTATTCCTGTTGACATGGAAATTAATAACATCTCTGTATTTTTCTCCTTTTGGGGGACATTTCAGTGAATTTAATTGCATCGTTGGTGCACACACACCCTTTAAGCAGGATTTTGAATCTAAGACCTCTAAGCCAACTGACAGGCTATGTTTTGTGCCAATAAAAATATATTATCGCACCTTTTGTGTGCACTTTTGTCCGTTTGATTCGTCTTGTCAAGCTAAGCAATGGTTATTTAATCTCTTTTTTTTTTTTATGTAAAAGTCGTCATAAATTGAAGATATTGCCAGTTTGTTAAAGCAGTAATTTATTTTTTTGCACAATTAATTTAAATTGTTAGTTCGTATTATAATTTCTGGGTTTATATGCAATATTTAATTTTAATTTTTTATGTATATTCTTTCATTTGAAATTTGATGTTAAACCTATCTACAGCATAGTGCAATTGCAACAATTATAAGATTTTAGAGAACAAGTTAGGCCATAAATGCTAGAATAAAGCAAGGTGCAATAATAACATGCATAACGCAACATATTGTATAAGATTTATGCAATAGAGTACGATCAAAATAGCTATGATATAATAGGATTAAATATATATATCATTTATAAATTAAATGGCTATGTTAATATAATTAAATCTACATTATCTACATAACTACATGAATTAAAAAAAAAAAAAAAACTAAATGAATATCGATTGCTTTGGTTCTAATTAAATAGTAATTTAATATTTTGCTGTTATATGAGTATGTATCAATGTATTTATTTTATTGTTAAATAAATTTATATATAGCTAGTTTCTATATAATCATATACATTAAGGTGCAATTTCTTCAAAATCTTTCTTTGAAGTCATAAATGATGTGTTGCATCACATTCACTTTACTATGAATAAGAGGAGCACTCATCAGCTTATATATGTATGGGCCATAAAAATATTTGGAGTAAAATTTTAAAATATTCCTCAGATTCTTTAAATTGTGGTACTATTAGAACTGTTCTAATTTTTAAACAGCTAGAAATTATTTTAACACTTATAAATTTTGGGATTAAAATGATGTCATGTAAATCGGCAAATCAGTTTTAGAGAATTGTTTAGTTCATTAAAGTTTTGTAAAATAATGATCTAAATGATTGTAAATAAATTTATTGACCTTATAATATAAAACTTTAAATTTAAATTTTTATAAAATTCTCATACAATATAAAATCAAATTATTATGTAAATTAAACTAATATATGCCACCAACAATGAGAGCCATAAGCTTCTCCTTTTATTCTATTTTAGAATAGGCTAAACAAGTTGAATGAATAACTATATAAATGAAAAATTACGTTGATTTATAAAAATAGGGTTGGATTAGACTATGAAAATTGTGCTTGATTGTGAGAATTGGGCTACTATAATTTATAAACTATATTTTAAATTTATTTCCTTTTTTAAATAATTTTAATATAATTTAATGTTCTGTTAAATCCCAAAAGTTTGTAATTTTGGTCCGGCAGTAATTGAGTGCTATTTACGTAGGTCATACGCACACAATTCTGCGTGCGTATGACCTCCAATAACCTCCCAAAAACTAAGGTTATTGAAAAGTTAGAGGGGATATTAACCACAATGATATCTCAATAATCTCCCAATAAACTATCAATACATTCCGCAGTTCGTCACTCATATTTTTTCTTGTCATTCGAGAGTTTTGTGTGATTATTGAGAGTATTAATCATTATAATACACCGGTATAACCTTAATATCCCCAAATAACCCTTGTAAGCATGCAATTCTAGGTACTTAAATATTTTTCCCGGTAATTGCAGAAATTATTAGAAACGCGGAGCCGTCGGCGGCGGCTCCTACCGTGAAGGGAGAAAGCCAAAGCGGCACGAGGCGGCCATCGGCCGACCGTTACTACTGAGTAGCGGCGAAGCTGAGTACATACAGATGAGATTGAAGCGGGAGGATTGCGATCTCACGAAGCACGACTTCATTTTCTCCAAATGGGAGGTTTGATCTTCTCTCCATCTCCCATTCATGCCACTATTTACTCTTTGCTTCTATGGGAAAGACATTTTGGGTCAGTATAAACTTTCAAATTTACTGCCAGTCTTCGAAGATCCGCTTTACTTTCGCAATTCCAGCTTAAAAATGCCATCAAGATGGCATCACTTTCATCTAGGTCAACTGAAGCGCGGCTGTTTGATATCCTATTTTGGGCAGTGTTTAAACAAAATTTAGTTTGCGTTCCAACGAGCATAGTTTTTTAAAACTTAAATGTTACTGTTTTCATAGGTCCATTTGGTTGTATTCAGTATATGTTAAATTTCATCATTTATAGATATTCAAGAGTTTCTCCTCTCTGGTATCTTAAATCCTGAAACAAATAGCTGAACAGTTTATTCAGAGTAATAATTTTCATGACAAAGAAGTTTGAGGTTTTAATCCTCTCAAAATTTACTAAATTTGGATTTACTTAATCATATTTGTATCCAAGAAGACCTTAAAACTCCAATCAATTGAACAAATATCAGTGCTGTGGAAGAGAAGGGTTTATGGAGTGGAAGGCTTAGTAATTGATAGACTCGTAAGGTTTCTTACTGCTTGATTGAAGTAAGGTGCTGCTTCCCTGCATGCTTCAGCTAAAACAATGGAATGTGACGCTTTCAATCTGTCATACAATGGGATCTGCACTTTCTAATCCTTATCTCAGTTACTTCTGAATTCATATCTCGGATAACTGGTAGCAATAATATCATGTGAGCACTTATTATGAATGAATTATTTTATAAATTCACTTAGTACTTGTTTGCATGTTATTAATATTTATCGAAATAAAAAAAAAAATATCTACCCATCTCTTGGACTTGTTCAAAGAAAAAAAAAATAGTGTTGCATGGGCTCTGTAACCCGTGGATCAGGACATCGTTTCTTTCATCTTTTCAATTCATTCTTTTGTTATTTTTTCTTCCTTTTATTTGTGTCCGTCTCGTCTCTTTTCTTTTCATTTAAAAATCAAGCTTCTCTAATATTGATTTTTTTAATGTTTTAATGGAGATTTTAAAGAGAGCATCCAGACATTATTATCACAAAACTCAAAATCACAGGGATAGAGAGAAGCAGAAGTGGATATGCTGTATTGAGAAGTTATTTGTGGATCTTTAGAAGAGAGATGTAGCGAATTAAAAAAATGATAAAAAATGGTCGGTATCATGAGAAAACCATTTATTTATAAATTATTCATATAACATAAAGATAATGTTCGAATAAAACCTCAAACTTATTTGTAATGAATAAAGGGGATGCACAAGAGTGTGCAAATTATAGAGGGATCAAGTTGATGTTTCAGACTTTAAAATTATGGGAGAGGGTAAGTGAACATAGGTTAAGTGATACAAATATTTTTTATAATCAATTAGGATTTATGTCGGGCAGGTCTACTATAGATGTCATACATTTATTGAGAGGTTTGATGGAGAAGTACATAGAGAATAAAGAGGATAGAATAAAGAGGATCTTGGATCTTCATATGATTTTTATTGATATAGAAAAAACTTACGATAAGGTTCCAAGAGAAGTTTGTTTGGAGAGTTCTAGAGGAAAAAAGTGTTGACATGGATTATATTCAAGTCATTAAAAATATGTATACTGGAGTTATTACTTGTGTTAGAACAGAGGAAGGATTGACTAAGCATTTCATGTTTAAGTTGGATTACATTAGGGATCAGTTTTAAGCCCTTAACTTTTTTATTTTAGTTGATGCTGTTTTTGGACATTTACATTAGGAAGTACTATGGTGCATGCTTTTTGCTGATAATATCCTTCTTGTGGATAAAACTGGAGAAAGAGTTCAATAAAAACTTGAATTATGGAGGTCTACATTGGAGTCTGAAGGCCTTCTTTTGAGTGGATCTAATATTGAATACATGAAATGTAATTTTAGTAGTAGTAGCACTAGTTGCATAGCTATAACTATGGGTGATCAAATCATTAAATTGTGTGATCGTTTTAGATATTTCGGGTCAAATCTTTTAAAGTGATGGTGATATAGATGGGGATTTTATTAGTAGAATTCAAGTTGGTTGGTTGAAATGGAAGAATGTATCAGGCCTATCGTGTGATAGAAAATTACCTCTCAGACTTGAAGGAAAATTTTATATGATGGTAGTGAGACCTGCAATGATCTATTGTGCAGAATGTGGTAGAATATTGGTCATTAAAAGAGAAACATAAAACAAAGTTAAGTGTTGCGGAGATGGGAATGCTTGGGTGGATGAGTGGCTTGACACTTGGAGACAAAATGCGAAATGAATATATTCGTGATAGGGTTGGTATAGCTCTAGTGACGGACAAGATTAGACAGAGTCTTCATAGATGATTTGTTCACATTAAACGCCGACCATCTGATGATCCTGTTAGGAGGGTATATGTTTTAGATTCAACTTATGTTAAGAAAGACAGAGGTAGACCTAAAAAGACTCGGGTAAATTATATTAAAAATAATCTTAATCTCTTAGAATTAAATGAAAATATGAGAGTCAATACGATGCAATGGAAAAAAAAGATCAATGTAGCGACCCAATAAAGGCTTGTTGTTCTTGTCGTCGTCTTATAACATAAAGTCATATTGTCCATCATTCGGTCCGTACAATGAAGATTTCCCAATAACATTATCACTATATATATAATTTGTTTTGCTAATTTTTTGTTCTCATTTTTCATGCAAATCTAGGGCTTTTAAAATGAAAAAAGAACAACTTGGAATTTGGCTCAAATAAAAATCAAATCAAGATCAACTCAACTCAATCTCTAGTTGATTTCAAGTTCCATATTGGACTGTAACTCAATTTCATGCTAATTTTAAAAATAGAGTTATGTTTGAGTTTAGCTAGAATCAAAATTTTTAATTTTGAGTTAAGCCAATTCATTTAAATTTGACTTGATTTCACTCCTGTGCAAGTCATGAAATCATAAGCGAATGATGCAAAAATTTGTACATGCTTATGATTTGGAGGTGATTGAATCTATTGACTTCTTGATGTTTAAGTCATTGTAATCTCCAAGGGTGAACGACCTGCGGTTTTACATACAGAAGAGTTGTAAGAAAGCTCCAAAGTAGAAAGATGCATATTCCAGTTGCTCAGACTATTACTACTAGACATGTAAAGGTGTTTCCTATACTACAGTTGACTAACTCATAATCATACCACCTAGTTAGGGGTGGAAAGGAGAAAAAATCTTCAAAGCAGTGACCATAAATATGGGATAAATTTGAAATCACTGCTAATGATAATGGTAAAAGGCAGTACTTGTAACCAAACAATCTTGTGAAAAAATAGTTTAGCCACACGAGATTCTTTAGTATCCCTAGAGTAAGGGGAAAAAAATGTAACACCTATCCATAAAGGAATAATGTTTTCATGGTCTCTTTAAGATCTAAGCATTCATGACGATTTAATATAAGGTAGGAAAGGATCATGTAACATGATTTATTAGCCAGCTTGTTGCTTTATTGCTTTGTATGATTGGCAAGTATGCCAATAACAAATCAAATTGCCTATGTCACAACACAATGAATCCTCAAACAATAATAAGGTCTTATCACTTTTGACATGATAACTGTGCCCCCAAATTGCATCTTCAAAATGATAAACTCATGAAGGGAAATGCAGGTGATGCAAAAGAAATCACCATGATAAAGAGCACCATACAAAGTATGTTATGTGTTTGGAGGCAAAAGAAGTGTGTCCCGATGCTCTTCATAGATCAAATGAAAGTTAAGGTACACAATTAACCCATTTTTGAACAAATAAATTACAGAACTTGGATTTTAAGAGAAGTCATAAATAGTAAAACTTGTGAAAGTGTGTCGGAGGTTATGTTTTGATTGTATGCCTCAAGTGAAAGCGTGTTTCTAAAGGACTTTACCCAACCCTCAGAGTGACTTTTCAGCCACTTCTTAAAATTATGAATTTAAGTGCCTCGTTGTCAGAGAGCAAGATGAACTATTTGGACAAGAGTCAGTGTTGTCGTAGCAAAAATAATGAATGAGAGTATAATACTTATGATCACATGTGTAGTGATGTTTGTTTTTGTTCATTTAGTTTCTTGGCGCTACTCCTAACCGAGAATATAATCTAAGCCTAAGTCAGAGGCATTGAATCACATCTCATAAACCTTCTCAAATTTTGGTAGGCATATTATAAAGGATATTGTCATTATGACCTTGGTCTCGTAAAGACATTGTTAACAAATGGTGTCCCATTGAAACTTCCCTCTTGAAGTAGATCATTGGCAGGGACAATGATAACACTAAAAGTTTTGATGAGTTGTCGATAGAGATGCATGAGAAAATTCATCATTAAAGTGTGATGTGAGACTCAACCAATCGAGAATTATTTGGTTTTTCATTAGGATTTAGTTGTAGACTTATAGAGGACATGAAAAATACCTAAAATATTGACCCGAGGTTATAGAAATGCTCATCTCTCAATGTCAACAGAAGCTGCTAAAGATATTTTGGATGCTCATTCTCAGTCATGCTATATATGAAGATATAATCGAAGTTCATAATAAGGAATTGGTTAATGAAAATTCAAAGCACTTAATTTATCATGTTGTTAAGGTAGTGGGCACATTTTTGACAAACCAATGGCATGAACAATCACTTGTAAAAGCTATTTGGTGCCTTCAAGGTTGGCTTCCACACACTATCATGATGAATCAAGATCTAGTGGATCTGGCCATGTCGATCAATCTTAAAGAAATATGAAGTTCTTGAGATCATGTAAAATAGATCCTCAAGGCATAGGGTTGCCCTCTTTCTTAGCCAACATCTCTTCCTTGGTCCCTGCCCAATTTTATCTAGATTTTGGCTCCCTTCTAGTGCTATTAGGTGGTTGGTTTTGGCACGGCTTAGGGCTTGGATTGGCTTAGATGGGCATGGCTTGGGCTTAAACTTGGCTCAAATTAAAAAATAAAAAATGAAACTAATTATAATTTAAATGTAACTCATTTACACCAAAATTCAAACTTAAAATTGAATTAAGTTTAAAATTAATTTAAAATAGACCAAATTTATTGTGGTCTCTTTGATTCATCGTAGTGCTCGAAATTTTATTTCGTAAGCTGCATCACATTCATCATTATGCTTGGAGAAACATGCAAGGAGTTCAATGGCGATCTGTCGCCCTTTTTATGTAGATTTGTGTGACTTGAGCTTTTTTGCATGAAATCTTTTCCTAAGTAACCCTTTTTATTAGTGTCATTTCACAAAAGGCATCACACGAGTGCGCTCGGATCATCAAAACATTCAAATGAGTCAATTCACATACAAATTGGATTTCAGTGGGGGTGATTTAAGACCACAATAATTTGAAATATAATAATGATAACAATAATTTGAATCATCAAAGAAGATATAAAATTAAACCGAGCTTACCTTTAAATTAAATTGTAACTTGACCAAAATCGAATCTAAAGCAAACCAAATTCAAAATTAAATTAATCCAAAATTTAATAAAAAATAAATATAAAATAAAATGAAAATAAATTTAATTAAAATCTAAACTAAAACATGGAATTAAATTAAACTATATTTTCTAAACCTACACCCATGTTTAAATTTTTTAGTATTCTCTCAATCTCAGTCTTGTAATAATCTTCTAAAGGGCATGTTGGTGGTCGAATTGGATGATAAATCTTAAAATATACTTTTCTATCTCAAGGTCTTAGCAACTCCCCTATTTTAATTCACTCAACCCGACATAACTTATGAGGGGCTCAGTAGAGGATTTCCCTCAAAAGTCACGCTCTGTTCGAGGGAAAACTCCAAGCTTATCACTGGACTTCTTCTATGGTGGTTTTACAGGCTTGGCATGGTTTATCACTCTCTCAACTATCTCCCTAACAACTCCAACATTCTCTTAATAGAAAGAGCATATTCTTCCTTAGTAATTTCACCACAAAATTCGTCCACCATTGCTTGCTCTTTGAGGTCCAATTCTACAGCTTCATAAACTTGACCATCAACTATCTCTGCCACCGCATATACACCATGACATTGATCATTCCTAGAGTTGTGAGAAAACTTCATAAATTTCAGAACATCAAAAGTTATTTCCTAATCATTCACTCTCATTATGAGTTCCTCCTATACATAAATTATCAGTTGATCAGTGGCTAAAATAGGTCTGCTAAGTATAATGGGATAACCTTATCTTTCTCCATCAGCAGGAAAGATGAACATGTCAACTTTAATTACAATACCCTCGGTTATCACCCTAGGATTGGCCACAGAGCGATCAACTAACTGTAGGGCCACGGTGGTGGGTTAAACATCTCATAATCTTAATCTTTTGAAAATGGTCAGAGGAATAAGGTTGACACTAACTCTAAGGTCACACAAAACCCTCCCACTAAATCTCTTTCCTGTGATGCAAGGAATGATGAAGTTATCTGGGTCAGAGAATTATCTCACCATCTCTTAATTTTTTGTCCCAGATGTCCTTCACGAACCTTTACTCGACATCCATTCCAGGGCTTTAACATAAGAAATACTAACGGTGAGTTTATTGACAACCTCTAGAACCTGAAACATATCCCCCTTATGCTTATGGAGTCTCTGTAGAAAGCACAGCGGTCTCTCTTGTTCTGTCATAGAAGGTGAGATAGGTTTTCCTAAGTCTAGTTCATTTTTTAAGAAGGCTTGCAATTTCAAGCTCTGGCGAGCTCTATAGGTTGCTCTCTATTCTAGGTGTATCTTCTCACTCCATTCCAATCCTTATTCTGATGGCTTTACACCGCTCCACCGTCTGAACTCTTAGATTTACCTCAATGTTACTCGTGAGCATTACTTAAGAGTCAATTACCCACCCAATAAATAACTGCCCAATTTGATTCTTAAGGTTTCTCATTGCTACAACTTGGTTTTGTAACTGGTTCTGCATATATAACACAATCCCATCCAAAAATGGTCCCTTCTCCTTAAATCGGGCATTGGAAATTATTTCAAGTGAGTACGTCTGTCTCGGGTTACTACTTCCTCGATGCTTCCAATTTCCTACACTATTGGATTGGTTGTCTTCCCTCTGCTGGTTCCTTACACTTGAGTTATTATTATTCCAGTTGAAATTTGGATGATTCTTCTAGCCTGAGTTGTAGGCATTAGAATATAGATTGTTGAATTGGTTGCCTAAGGCATTCATAGTTTTTTAGAACAACAGCTTTCAGATCTCCTACAAGTCCATAAATTATTCCATCAATTGGTAGGGATCCTTGCACCGAATTCAACCTGAAGTTATCTAATTTTCTAGAAATGATAGCCATTTGTGATGCTAGGATAGTTAGAACATTAGTCTCATGCACACTAATTATCTTCTGGGAGGTTCTTTCAGAGAGTCATTTGAAATTATATGCGGTCATGTCCTTAATAATTTCATAGGCCTCATCAAATGATTTAGATATTAAGGACCCACAACTGTAGTATCTATGATAAACCTTAAAGATTGTATCAGCCTTCTATAAAAAGTCTAAATAATAAACCAATTGGGTGGGGCGTGATGGGGGCATTTTTTAAGCAACTCTTTGAACCTCTTTTAAGCTTCATAGATCAATTTTACATTTAATTGTGTGAAGGATGTGATATCGTTCTTAAGTTTGATAGTCTTGTATGGAAAAAAGTACTTGGTCAGCAATCTTTAGGCTAAGTTAGTCCATGCGGTGATGGATCCTGGTGTTAAGGAGGCGAGCCATATCAGCTTTATCCCTTAGTGAGAAAGGAAAAATTTTGTCTAATGACATCGTTGGGGGACACCATTATCTTGAAAGTGACAAAGTTCTTGAAAATTGGTTAGGTCAGCGGGCACTCCAAATTAATTGTTTTGGACCATTTATTATGACAGGTCCCAACTCATTTATGTTGTCTTCTAGGACAGGGTACTGAATACTCGTGTGGATTCTCTCTACCAACATACAAACTCCCTAAGAGATCATGTGATTTTCTTGAGGGTTTGTCATCTCTAAGTGTTTTTTTTTTTAATTTTTTGAATTTTTTTCAAGGTTTTTTCAATTTCATGCAAGAATGATAAGAATTAATCTAATCGTATTACTACACATGCAATAATAAGTGTGTGTGAAGGGTGACCTGTTCTAAAACAAAAAATGCAAAAAAATTAGGAAAAATATAAATAAAAAAAACATTGGGACAACACAACAGTTGAATAAGAAATATGCAATTACATGAACAAAAATAAAATTACAAATGATTTTTATTGAATTTTTTTATTTTCAAAAAGAAGATCATAACAAAATTATAATAAAACTCAAAATAACAGTAAATAGTTAAAGCTTAAAATCTAAGTATTCCAATTCCAACTAAAGTTTTCCTAAAGTTATAAAATTTTTTCTCCTCTCCTTGGCAATAACATCAAAATCTTGATACCCAAAATCTATTATGAGACGGATCAATCAATCATGCAAGTGTACATTTCGATTAAGTAATATATGAATAAAGAGTACTTGTATTGATCCCAGAAGAACAATTAAATTATTTCTAATTTGGGAAACTTTAGTGTATTAAATTGTTGAATCTAATTTGATGTGATCAATGAGCAAGAAAAAAAATTTTAACAGTCTGCATTAAATAGGAATATCAATAAACAAAAAGGCAGTTGCAGAACAGGTAGTAAGCAAGCTTGAGTACTTCAAAGGTGATGAGGCTTATGCTTCTCTGACACCCATATAGTGTTCTCTCTATATTTTTCCTATGAGCTCCTTTACGTAATAGTAGACAACCAGGAACACAATTCTCCTTAGCCTATATCTAAGTCCTCTGATCCCCTATCTAGGTTATAATTGTAACGACAATGTCTATTCCACTTGTATATTGTGTGTAAACATAGTTGATTTTCTAGGCAACGGTTACAAGTTCTGAATCACAAAGAATTTTAATATTCTATCGGATCATATTTGAAATAATTAAGATCTGAAAGTTAACACATTAATATATAAAATTTAAAAACATAGAAAACATTGACGGGAAAACTCATAGTAAGAACAAGGAGAAAAAATTATCCTTACATTAAAGGAGCATGAAAGCAGTTTTAACTATGAGTCATGAGGGAGAAAAATAAGAAAAATATCATTGAAAAATTATAGAAACAAGTGCAAACTTAAAATCAAACCAAGTTGTCTTCGTAATACACCAAGTCATCACCATACAATAAGAAACTCCACAATCGCTCTCACACAACAACATTCAATCTCTCTCACACACAAAAACTCTCAAAACTTAAAAGTAAAACCCAATGAAAGGTTTGACATAGAAACCCTAAAACTTGCCGAAAGATGCCTCCAATGTCTACACACCACCTCTAGGGTGTCCTAAAGCATCTTCTTATATATCTCTTGTCAATTTCGCCATGGGAAAAAAATAAAAAATAAACCAAATTAAGCCTGTCGAGTCGTGTGTAGCTATGCCTATTCTTGACATAATTACGCCGCTGGTCGGGCGTAACTATGCTAAGGCTTGGCATAATTACGCCGAGCTAATAACACGGGCGATGTAATTACGCCACAGAGTGGCGTAATTATGTCATATCAACATTCTTGCCCGCTTTTTGTTTTGGCTCCGCAATGCGTCTTCGATCCCTGTAACATGTAAAATACTACTAAGAAACCTTCCACAAGTATAAAATCATGATAAAGTAGGAAGAAAATATGATATATATAGTAAGAAAAATATGATATAGCATAAAATCATGTAATATACATTTCTGGCTATTTACCAAAGGCTTTAGATAATCACGTTTTGAGACTTTTGAATTTGGTCCAAGTCTGATGATTATCAATCTTGATTGTTGTGAATTGTGAAGAATAAGATGCACTAGTTTTTTTGTCATCAAGGACTTGATCATAGTGTCATTGTTAGTTTTATACTATTCTCCTAGATCAATCCGAAGAAATTATGTTATACAAAAGGAGAATCCCTGATACCATAAGTGGTTCAGAAATTATCAGAAACGAAAAATCAAACTTTATTAGAACTGAATGAAGGTTACAATATGACGCAAATGGGAAAGGAAAAGACAATAACAACCAATATCCGACTAGGGCCTGAAAAGACGATTCCCAGGGGGTGCTGGCATCGGCAACGTGGTAAGGGTGCGGGGAAGGGTTGATGGCTGCAAGGTTGGTTAGGGAGGAGTATGGTGGCCGGTAGGTGTGCTGGACAACAATGGTGGCTACAGGGGAAGGGTTGACGGAGGCTGGGACAGCCCAGCTAATGGCTGCAATGGGGTGGCCTGATGTGGGGAAGGGTCTGGTGGACAGCAGGTAGAAATGCTGGGAAAGGGTTTCGGCTGGCTAGGAAGTGATCTGGACAGCAGGGACAACTGCAGTAGATGGGCGGCCAAAAGGCTGGGGATGAAGAGGAGGTTGACGGCGTCCTATGGGGATGCAGGGAACAGTTTGGGGAGGAAGATAAGGGAGGATGTAACTCCGCCTCGGAGTGGTTTACTGCCAAAGCACCATTCATCATTGGATACAACCCTAGCAAGGCAGAAAAGACTCCAAAGGAGAAATCTGAACACAGCAATAAGCAAAAACTGCAACCTACAACTGAAAACAGAAATTTATAGACTCTTACATGGAGAAGAAAATGAAACTTCCACAGAAAAGGAAAGGAATGGGCAGCAGTCCAAATCCGGAAACAACGATTGAAGACTTCCCATATGGAGGAGATCACGTAAGAAAGGGAATAGAGGGGGCGGAAGTCCCACCCCGTATAAATGCTGCTTGGTCCTTCGCCCGGTCCCACTGGACCGGTCCGCCTTGCTGGTTTTATTGCCAGCCGGTTCGGCCGACTGGCGCCCTAGTTATGCGTCAATCCCTGTGCAATTTTAGTTTCCTTTGTGCTTGTCAAGTGATTTTACCATGTCTTTTTTTTTATTACCGATTTCTTTTGATCATGTGTCTGTTCTCCTCATAAGAAATTGCCATAATCTTCAGGTTTACCTGTACTATTTCTCAGTAGCGAGTGTGATTGCTTGACAAAGTTAAATGATGTTGGTAGTAAAGAAATAGGTCCAAACGTTTACTATCTGCCAGTACATATCTCACCATGTTTGCTGCCTATGTTTCAAAGAGATGAACATTTTTACTAGCTTACAAATATTTCATGCTAAACATATTTGGTTGCACTTCATCAATTAAATATTTGAACTTGCTTCTATAGTTTCAAAGTAACTTAATCCTTCTGATTGCACAAATTAGCATCTCATGATCCATTCATACATGCAAATTCAGATATTGTTTTACGGCTCTATTTCAAAATCAACCCTAACATTAGCTTAAGTGATTTTTTTACCAGATTCTCATTGGGCCAAATGATTGGAAGGATCATGCTTCCGGCAAAGATGGAGTTGAAAGATATAGGATTCATAATCTTCCAGCAGCCTCTTCATGTACTGGTCTTTATGAGCTTGGTGTAGCTTCCATTCCCACCACTGAAGGCCACAGACTGCGGAAGCTTGATTGGGAGAACGTTATAGTTGTTTACCTTGGACAAGCTGATAATGTTAGAACAAGACTCCAAGAATATGGACGTTCAGGATCCCATTTGGACCATGGAAATCTTATTACTCATCGCAAAAATTCTGAAAGCTCTTCTGCAGTAGGACTTGGACTATTCAAAGACATCTTCTCAAAAGGCTACTCAATTATGTTTAGATGGGCTCCAGTTATGTCTATTCTTAACGAAAAAAATTTGTGTACGTAAGACGTATGCCAGAGAGGTTACTCAGATGGTATTGGCGGCTTATATCCGCGTTATACCCCCTGTAACCTCTCTGTAACCTACAAATATATGAAAATAGAAGTGCCGAACTTACTAGAAGATACAGGTAAGTTAAAGGGAGGTTACAAATGGTATAATGCAGATATAACCCCTGGATAACCTCCCTGACGGCGTGCGTCCTACGTACACAAATTTTTCTCATTCTAAACACGTAATCTGTTTGAGTTGCTATTTGAGTTTGCGGGCTATGGCAATGAAATATATAAAGCGCTGAACATTAGATTCTTGTTTTGCAATTTTGACATTATCACAGGGTGATTTCCCTCTTTTTTAAGTTCCATGGTGGGTCTAAGATGAAATAGGCAGGTTTTAACTGTTTTTGAAATCTTTGTAGGCTTTTCTTTTCTTCTCTTGCCTATAAGCATCCCTCCAATGGCTTTGCTGTATCAGCTGCTCAAAGCAAATCTTTGATAGCAAATCCATTAGCATTGGTTTGGTCACGGTAAACGTCCCTTGAGTTTTGACTTACCAGAGATGAAATTTCATTTTACAGATAAAAAGCAAGATGGAAGCTGAGAAGATCGAGATTCAACTGCTCCGAATTTTTGATTATGCATGGAATAGAAAAGGAAATGGTATGTGCCGCCATGCTGAAATTCTTGCAATGTTAGTTCAAAATTCACCGAATTCAGGCCACAGCCCTCTGAGAAGGCTTTTGCAGTGGAAACAGAAAACATTCAGTAAGAGAGAGGGCATAAACATTGATTCAGTTGTTCCGTTTTCTGAAAAGTTAGCACCATCTCCTGGGCTCAAAGGCTTTTTACTTCCTGGAATCCTCAAGTTTTCTTCTTCCCAGCTCCAATTCCTTCCACAAGATATCAACTCTGTAAATGATCAAATTATCTGTGGTATAGCCACTGGTCATGGGCTTATTTGCATAAAGCAGCCACTGCCCGGGAGAAAAAGGTGTGCTGAACACAAAGGAAGGAAAATTACAGCCAGTGGTTCAGCTTCAGGAAGAATGACTTCTTCCTGTGACATTTTCCTAGAAGATGGAACAAAGGGATGTGAGTTTAGCGATGGAAGAAGAGTCACTATACCTCTTTTAGATGAAGTTGTTTCACCGTCTCAGCAATACCAGTCACAATTAGCCCAAGAAAAGTTTCACCATGACAAAGAGGAGAATGTTATTTGTGGAGTGGTCTGTGGTGATGGTTGTGTGTGTAAAAGAAGGCCAGTTTTAGGGAGGAAAAGATGTGAAAGTCACAAAGGACAGAGAGTTCTTGCAGCCGTGCCATCTGTTGACAAAATATTGAACTCTCTACCGTTGAACAACTTCTGTGGAGTGATCAATGGTAATGGCTATGCCTGTAGTAGGCCGCCGGTTCCTGGAAGGAAGAGGTGTGAGGAGCACAAAGGAAGAAGGATTGTGTCAGCTGGTAACATCAATGTATCAAGAGCTGAATAAAGCTTTCCAGTTTGTAGTGCTACTTCAATCGCCCTCCAGAAAGGAAGAGATACGAGGTAGTATGCAGTTTGATTAACTTTTGGAGTAGAGTTGGCTTATACTTTTTTAAACTATCAGCTTTTCTGATTACTATTGAGTTTGTTGTATTTGCTTAATTTGATGATTCATTATTTCATATTGGTTCATGTAGCAGTCTATCCTGAAATGCAGGAATAAAAACTAGGTAACTAATTTTTATTCAGGCCCCGAACTAGCTTCTACCTTGTCTATTGGATACAATATTGTTTTAGGGGCATTTAGATATATACCTTTCAATTCTTATTTATTTACTGTTAAGAATTAGACCTAACTTAGGGTCATATTGGTAAAAAGGCAATATTGAAGAAGTCTAAGGGCTTATTTGTAAAACATCATAATATCCTATGTAAGCCCATGTCCTGAATGTGCAAAGTAGGTTTTGAGCATTTTTTTCTTCATGGAATCAGAGACTAACCTAGCCACCTAACCTAACCGACTCACATCTTCACTTTCCCAGCAAGCTCTGATCGTGGCCATCTTGCAGCAGTCGGTCACAAAGGTGTGGGATCGTGTCGTCACCTTCCTAGTAAGCTCTAATCGCGACTATATTGCAGGGTCAGTCACGTTGTCACCGTCCATATTCGCCTTCCTAGTTCGCCTTCCTAGCAAGCTCTGATCGTAACTATATCTTACGTTGTCACTTTCTCAACAACCATTGATAGCGACTGCAATGCAGGGTTCGGTCACGAAGGTGTGAGATCGCGTTGTCGACTTCCCAACAAGCTTTAATTGCGACTATATCACAGGGTTCTCTGTACGCTGTGATCCCGAAGTTGCTTTCTCAGCTGTATCACGAGGGATTCAGACATGACAACTTTTGCAGTTTGTTGCGAGAGGAAGGGGAGCAGCACTGTGAAGGATAGGGGGAGGTGACAGTGAGGAACAAATAGGGAGAGATGCATGACTTCTGCATACGAGATGTGGAGAGGAAGGTCAGGAAGAAAGATTAATGAGGAGGATCTCGATTTTGAGGGTGAAATAGGTCGAGATCGAGTCAAGAAGAAGAAGTCGTGTGTGATATAGACTTAAATCCTTGTGATTGAGGATGTTAGGAGAAGGAGATGGTGCAGGAGGTAAAAGATTGGAGCATCATGGGAAGATAATCCTAAGATTTTGAAGGCCTTGATCGGACTCATACAGGGAGTCATCGTCTCTACGTGAGCCACTACCTCAGCACATGTTCCGATACAGGTCAAGCTAAATCTTCCTCTTGTGGATCTGAAGTTTGATGGACCAACATGTATTTGAGTTGTTCTTGTTGGATTAAAACTGCTTTAGTAGGGAAGAGACTAGAGAGATATTTGATGGGAGTCAAGGCTGAGCCAGAGGGTGACAGTGCTGAGGGTGATGAGTGAAGGACCACCCACGCCTTACTTCACACCTGGTTTCTCAACTTAATGATTCCATCAATTGCCTCATGAGTGGATGACATTTGAAAAGTGAGAGACATCTAAGCAAAGCTGAAGAGAGTTTATTTTGGGATAAGGAACCACATGAGGGTGTTCCAGATTCAGCGTGAGATAGAAACAATGATACAGGGTGATATATCGATCCAGTAATGCTCTATATATTTGGAGCGACTGTGGGCAGATCTTGATCACTTCTCACCAATGTCAAGTTGCAATGATCCGGAGTGCAATAAATGGGAGATCTTTACACAGATGAGGATTATGCAGTTTTTGAACCATGTAAACCCTGCCTTTGATCAGAGTAGATCAGTTCTAGCTTAGGCGACTATCCCTTCACTGAATGAGGCCATTTCTGCCATGATGAAGGAGAGTCGCAGGAAGCTGCACAATGGCCGAGTGAACTTTCGGGTGCGTGATCAGCGTTTGTTATTTCAAGCTCAGGTTGGATAGGTGTCCTAGGAATAACTCACAAGTGCTGCAACTGTGGTGAAGTCAAACATTTAAGCAAGACTTGTCCTAGGTCACCCAAGGAAAGGGAGACAGGTGGACGTGAACAAAGTGGAGGCCGTGGTGGTCGAAAATGTTGAAAAGGGCGCTATTGGGCAAATCTGATGATAGTATAGAAGGGAGAGATGGGCGTGGTTTTTATAATAAGGATCATGAGTGTTTGGAGTTGCTGAAGAGGAAGTAAAAAGCAACAGGAGATGGGGCTGAGGTTCCTTCTGACCAGTTGTCATCAAAGGATAATATTGTCACTTGTGCTCACTCTGACAAAGGTGCTTGTAATACATATGATCTTGCATCTATTTCCACCACATGATCATCAAAATTGATAGTAGATTCTGGTGCAGCTCGACATGTGACACATACTGCTAGATAGTTTTCTTCTTATATTCCTCTAGCAAAACCAGAGAACATCTAAGTTGTTGATGGTACAACATAGTTTGTAGTTGTTAAGAGTACAGTGTGTGGTACAAATTATATGACTTTGTCCAATGTTTTACATGCTTCTTTTCTAGTGAACCTATTATCTATTAGTGTCATTATTTTTATTTTCCAACTAAAATGAGTTGTTTCTTTTAATATTCCTGAGGTAATCTTTCGAGAGAAGGGGATGGGTCGGACACTTGGGACTGGAACGTGGAATAGTGGACTTTAGTATTTAGACTGGGAAGGGATGGACTAAGGTTTGGCATTCATGGCATGGTAGAGAGTGATGGAGTAAGAGAATCTATGAGTGTGAAAAATGTATTGATGCTAAATCACAGACATATGTGACACTCTTGTTTTAGTTTATTGAACCGATTATATCATTTTTTCTATAAAAGAACAAATAGATAAAAGTTTGTTTGTGGTGCTTGTGTGTTTGAGGAGCTTACTAGGAACTCTTATATAAGTTATGGGAATAGTTCTTGTGTTTTTGACTTGATTCATTTTGATATTTGGGGACTTTATTCTACAAGTTCTATGAATGATCATCAATATTTTGTGAACTTTATTGATTTCTTTTGTCGTGTTGGTTATATTTGATGAGTAATAAGGGTGATGCATTTGTTTGCTTTAAATACTTCTACAAGAGAATTCAACCCAATATGATGCAGTAGTAAAGTTATTAAGGTATAATAATGAGACATAGTATATCGAAAAAATATTTGGGAAATATTTGTTAACCCAAGAGATACAACATCAAATCATATGTCCATACAAACCAACATGAAATGGAATAGCAGAAAGGAATAATAGGTACCTTATATAGGTTACCTAAAGCAATGATGATAGTAATGAATATCCTAAAACATTTATGTAGGCAAGTAGTTTTGATTGTTGTTCGATTGATCAACAGGATGCTATCGATGGTTTTTGATTGGAAGTCTCATTGTAAGGTGTTGAAAGGAGATAATAACGGGATCCTTTTATTGAATGTGTTTGGATGTGTATGTTCTGTGAAAGGTAACAAACCATTAGTAAGAAAGCTGGATCCCAGAGCTGTGAAATGTGTGTTCGTAGGTTATTCTGCTACCTAGAAGGGGTATGTTTACTGTAATCTAATAGAAAAGAGATTGTTTGTGAGCAAAGATGTATCATTTAGAAATTTTGAACCATACTACACCTAGAAGTTGACTTCACCCTACGGTTAATTGCCAGATACTGGAGATATGTGGCCCAGATGGTGAGTAGCAATGGTGAGAGTGGTGCATGTTGGAGCAATGTCAGTCCTGTGATGTGGGTTGAATCAGTTGAGAAACCAAAAAATGAGGAGAGTAAACCCATAGGTGGTTGGATTCAAGGTGAAGGCGAGCTAAAAAAAAGTGAAAAGAAAATAAAATAAAATAAAAAATTAATTAATTATCAGTTGCAAACACACAAAACAAGCTTTGCGGCCATTCATTCACACTATTTCCTATTGTTTTTTTTGTTCGGTTCCCATAGAAGTCTCGCCTGCGTCTCGAAAAAAATTTGCGTACATAAGATGTACGCATCGCTGCGTACGATAGCCAATAGGAGGAGGCCATGCATGCATCGGCGATCCCAGTGCTTGTAACTTATAAAATAAATAGGTGTTTTGTCGTGCGTGACCCGTCTACTCTACGCAAGACGGTAACTTGATTTTAACCCCTTTGTACCCATGCAATATTTTCCGTGGCCGGCCTCCAGTAATGCGCTTGTAATCTCGTTGTAACCCGTGTGTAACCTTCCCCACTTTGGCAACGGTACCGCTCATATAAACTGTGTAATTTCCCTATAACCTCGTCGCGACGGACTTGAGAGTGTACCCTTCGTGTAACTCGATTGTAACTGCGATGTAACGAACTATTAAAGCCATCGCCGCGGAGCCGCGCGGGTAACCCTCATGTAACCAGAGTATACCCTTTGTGTACCTTCGATGTATCAGACTATTAAGCACGTCGCGTTGGTATCGCGCGTGTAACCTGAGTGTAATTGCGATGTATAAGATTAAAAATTGGAGTGTGAATCATGGTATTTAAGAAGCTAGTGTTTACTGTTTTATTGGCCATATTCTCTATTTTTTGATGTCATTTTCTTTTGCAGCGACACTTGGACCTGTTGAAGTTCAAGATGGACTACAAAAACACAAACTGTCATTTTATCTACGAAGCGAAAGGGGGAAGAAGAGAGATATCCTGCAAATAGAGAAGAAGTGGACGTTAAAGTGGAGGTGTATTTGGATTTGTTTTTTTTTTTTGTATTTTTTTTTGGGAGACATTGCTTCAGTTGTTATAATAATGTTGTTTGATGTTAGGGTCTTCTTATTTTTAGGATTTAGCCGTATTTTTGGAGTTGTATGTTTGTTGAGATATGTTTGTAGAGATTAGGGATTTATAAAAACAGTGAGTAAATATATTACATTAAACCCCAATAATCACAGCTCAATAGCTAATAAAAAATAGTTAATTTTTGGAGGTGCATGTTTGTAGAGGTGTATAGTTTTAGGGTTATTTGTTGAGCTTTGATTATTAGGGTTTACTATTTTTTAAAAAAACTAATGAATCCTTATTATGGAAGGAACATATGAGGGTTTAGGGTTGTTTTTTGAGCTATTTATTGAG